AAAAAAAAAAAGAATGGTTGCTAGGGTTTTGTGGGTTGGAAGGTTGGAAAGTGATGACTAAGGAATGTGGGGTTTCTTTTTTGGAGTGATGAAAATGTTCTACGATAGATCTGGTGATGGGACCAGGCATGGTGGCACATGCCTGTAATCCTGTTACTTGGGAGGCTGAGGCAGAAGGATCATGGAGAGTTCAAGGTCAGCCTGGGCTACAGAGTGAGTTCAAGGCCAGCCTGAACTGTGTAGGGAGATTCTGTCTCAAAAAAACAAAAGAGAGGGCTGGGGATATAGCTTAATGGTATAGCACCTGCCTGGCAAGGGCAAGGTCCTGAGTTCAATTCCTAGTACCCCTGCCAAAAAGAGCCAAAACAAAAAAAAAATAGATTTGATGAAGAATGTACAACCCTGAGTATACTACAAGTCATTGAATTGTGTACCTAAGGTGCATAATTGTATGATATGAATTATACCTCCCTAAGGGTACTAAAGTTTAAAAAAACAAAAAGACAAAGCATCTCAGTCACCATGGAATTCTTCTTTTCAGCCAAGCATCTTCAAGAACTCCTCATGGAGAGTGTAAGTGTCTCCCCTGCCAGTCTGTCTAGTACTGGTTCCGGGTACCTGAATGCCTTGGTTGACAGTGCCATCGTCCTTGAAACAAAGGACACCTCACTAGCAAGGTAATGACGGTGACATTTGTAATTTCTGTGGTCATGTTGCATGGTTGCTATAAACACTTTCTGGTTCTCACAGTAATTCTGTGCAGAAATAACAGTAAATGCAAAAGCCCTGAAATTTAATTTACTTCTTATTTTTGCTAGTGAGTCAGATTAATTCACATAAATGTGGTATTAAAAAAAAAAAAAATGTGGTATTGGTTAATTTTTTCAGTGTTTTCTTCCAGGATTGGGTTGTGAAAATTGGTTCTCATGTATATTTGGAAAAGGATTAGGTATCACTTACACTGTTCCTTGTACACAATAAGTAGTAGAAGCTGGGTGTGGTGGCACACGCCTGTAATCCCAGCACTCGTAAGGCTGAGCGGGAAGATCATTGGGAGTTCGAGGCCAGCCTGGGCTACAAAGTAAGCTCGAGGCCAGCTTGAACTGCATAGTGAGACCCTGTCTCAAAAAAAGAAAAGCAGTAGGCTAACTCATCTGATTGAGCATGGTGAATTTTGATCCTGTCCTGTCCTGTTGAGTAGAGCGGGAAACCTTCACCTGTGCAGTGACATGGTTCTCCCAACAACAGTAAGAGCACACTAAACCCCAGGAGGGGTGTGTTAAGTAATTTCTCCAAACTAGTGAGTGGCAGAGTTGGAATTCTCACTCAGTCTGGCTCCCAAGTCCATGTGACTGTGGTGGTAGTTAGGACCCCACCATTACAGCTTCTACTTGGGAACTGCACACATGCCTCCTTAATTACCTTAAGCAGTTCAGCAGACACCAGTTGTAGACGAGGTGTGTGAGCACTCAGGAAGCAGAGATAAATAGAACAGTAACTGCCGTCAGGCTAATTAATCTCTTTTCACTCTCAGATGAAGGAGACAGATGTGTAAAACTTGGCCATAATGTGACAGCTGCAGTGGTATAAGAATATGTAAGCAGTGACTGGGGAGCACAGACAAAAGGTGGTGAATTTAGCTAGGTATGGGGATCGCTTCTCAGCCTTTTGGCTAAGATCATGTGTAGGTAGGTATGGAGACATACCCCTGCGACCTTAGCACTCCAGGAAGCTGAAGTAGGAGGATCCTAAGTTCAAGCCCAGCCTGAGCAATTTAACAACTTAGTGAGACCCTGTCTCAGAATTTTTAAAAATGTAGAAAAAAAGCTGGGGATATAGCTCAGTGTGAAGGCTCTGGGTTGAATCCCCAGTGCCACACGGACAGACACACACACGCACACACACGCACGCACTTCAAGATTGGGATAAATCTTAATATTGAAGGATGAATGGAACTTTGATAGTTTTCAAGAGATGGGAACAGCGTGTAAGAAATGCATAAAAGTATGAAGGAGGGTGATTATATGAGAATCTACTTACAGATATGACTAATAATTATAATTTTTGTCCTTAATTCATGTATGTAACCAGATTCTTCTTTTAGTTTTATTCCTGCAGTGAATGATTTGACTTCTGAGCTTTTCCGTACCAAAACCAAAAATGAAGAACTCCAGCTTCAGTTGGGAAAACTTGAAAGAAATCTAACTGCAACTTTAGTGTTAGAAAAATGTCTGCAAGAGTAAGTAATCGAGCTGAAAGTAGTAAAGACAGTAACACAATACTGTCGTACTTAATTTTGGCAGTAGATATGATTTTTAAAAACATAGTAGAAGATGGGATCCATAAAAAAGTTTCACTATCCAGTCCAAACTGGTCTTGAACTTACTATTTAGCTTAGGCTGGCCTCAAACTCACAGTGGTCCTCCTGTCTCAGCCTCCTGGGTGTTGCGATTAGCGGTATGCACACCACGCCTGGCCAATAAAATATTTTTAAAGAAGAAAATGACCTGAGTGGAAGTGAGGAATGGTCGGGTAAAGCTTTTCACCACTTTGTATAACTTACTACATTTGTATTGTGTTTTTGTCTTTATTTGTGCAGTCCTGGGGAACTCAGGCACTTGCACATGCTAAGCTGAACTAGATGCCAATCCTTTTGCTTATTTAATTATTTGTTGAGAAAGGGTCTTGCTGAGTCTCTGAGTTACCCAGGCTGGGATCAAACTTATGATCCTTCTACTCGAGTTTCCTGAGTAGCTAGGATTGGATGGGTAAGTTTCACTGACCCTGGCTCACCTTAAACTTCGTTGTACTTTTTTTCTTACAGTTGTGATATTCCTTGACGCTGGGGGCCTTCTTTGGGACCATGTTGCCTCAGAAATTCAGAATGCCTCAGAAGGCCTATGGATAGGAGTTATATAAATTCAGAAGTGACTCATTGTAGTATAAATTTATTTAGCAGATACTGAAAATGTATGTGTAAGGCACTGTGTCATGTTACATTTAGAAGGCCTTTGAGGGGGCTGGGGATTAGCTCAGTGGCACAGCGCCTGCCTGGCAAGCACAAGCTTTTCAGTACCAAAAAAAACTATTACTATTTAGCTTAGGCTGGCCTCAGACTCACAGTGGTCCTCCTGTCTCAGCCCAGTACCAAAAAAAAAAAAAAAAAAAAGAGAAAAAGAAGGCCTTTGAGACCTCATATTTCAAATTTGCTCTGGGAATATGTTAAGTTACTAAAAAAAAGGTAACAAGAATAGGGAGATGGACTTTGTGGAGATGAGAAGGAGATATGTGTTAAAGTTACTCCTTGAGAAAAATCCCACATGGGAACACAAGAAAATAACCTGGAAGAATGCATGGTAGACTGGGGTATAAACTTGATGGTAGAGAATCCAGCAAGTAGGTTATCTGCTATTGACTAACCCAGTATTAAATCCAAAATGTAGTAGTTTCTTTTTTATAATAATTTCACTGAGAAGGACGAAGAAGAGAAAAAAGTGCTTTAATTTTACTTTTCAAAGAGATCTCAAGAAGGCAGAGCTCCATCTGTCTGCTGAGAGGACCAAGGCTGACAATCGTCTTCAGAACATGGACTTCCTGAAGGCAAAGGCAGAGGAGTTCAGATTTGGAATCCGAGCTTCAGAGGTGTGTATGAAGGACTGAGCATAGCTAGTTCTCTTTGACCTTCGTTCTCACAGCTAGGTAGTAGTATTAGTCCCTTGCACAGAGGAAGAAACTACGGAGAGGACAAGTAACTTGCCCAAGGTTGTATAACTACTTAGCTGCAGGTTCAGACTCAGTCAGGCATTCGGGCTCTGAAGCTCAGGCCTTTAAGATCTGCACCCATCCTATCATGTGTGGATGGAGAAGGGATTCACAGATAAGATAAAAGGGCCTAGATGCATGTATAATTTTTCATCTGTGATTTGTAAGCTACTTTTTATTATAGTACATGTTGAAAATATTTAACGATGGTCACTTTTAAAATAATTTTCTAACTGAATGCCATTTTGTAATTATAGGAGCAGCTTTCAGCTAGAGGCATGGATGCTTCTCTGATGCATCAGTCACTAGTAGTACTATCAGAGGTGAGTTTATCTTAGTCTCTTTTCTGCTGTTTTAACAGAATGTAACAAACAGCATATGTATAAATAGTAGATACGTATTTGGCTTACAATTCGGGAACCTAGGAAGTCTTAAGATCGAGGCTGCATTTGATGAGGGCCTCCTGGGACAGTGGAAAAGCAAGTGACCACAAATCAAGCAGAGTGGGAGCGGCCGACTCCCACCTGTTTGTGGAGACTGCCAACCACTGTGGAGAGTCCACCTCTTAACATACTGTGACAGTGGCAGTTAAATGTCAGTGAGTTTTGGGGAAGATGTTCAAACTGTAGCACTTATTTTAACCTAATTTAACTTTCTTTATTAGCCCACAATCTCCTTTTTCTTTTTGTTTTCCTTTTCCTTAGGGCCCTTATGCATATTGGTTTGATTTCTTTTCTTTCTTTTTTTTTTTTTTTGAGACAGGGTCTCCTATGTAGTTCAGGCTGGCCTTAAGCTCACTTTGTAGCCCAGGCTGGTCTCGAACGCTCAATAATCCTCCTGCGTCAGCCTCCTGAGTGCTGGGACTACAGGTGTGTGCCACCATGCCTGGCTGTTGGCCTGATTTCTTTTCGTGGCTATTGCCTTAATTTCCTTTACCTTTGCACATTTTTACTTTTTTTTTTTTCCCATGCTGGGGATAAAACCCAGGGCCTCGCGCAGGCTATGCAAGTGCTCTATGACTGTGCCATATGCCTGGCCCTGTTTTTGTGCTTTATGTTTACTAGTGTTTATAGTTTTATTGTCTGTTTAGCTGTATATATTCTTCACTTGTTTGCTTTCCTTTATGTGTTGCTATAGGCTAGAAACTTGGCTAGAGTCAGTAATACTAACTTATTTGTCAAACACTTGAATGTCTCCATGCTAATCATTTAAGAGATCCTTTTATCTTTTAATGTAAGTAAAAGTACAAAGCTTAAAATTCCTGAAGCTTCCAAATTCAATTCTGGGTTTTTAGGTTGTATGATTTTTATCTATTATGGTGGCAAGAGAAAGAAATCAGCTATTTCTTTTTTTCCTAATTTTGAGGCATGGTTTCACTGTGTTGCCAAGGGTTGCCTTGATTTTGCTATCCTCCTGCTTCAGCCTCCTGAGTAGCTAGGACTATAAGTGTATACCACCACATCCAGCTTATTTTATTTTGCTTCATTTTATTTTATATTAAATATTTTTTTGCAGCACTGGAGATTTAACCCAGGAGAATGGTATTGTTCTACCATTGAGCTACATCCTCACCCCCTTTTAAAAATTTTGAGACAAGGTCTCACTAAATTGCTCAGACAGAATTTGAACTTGTGCTCCTTCTGCCTCAGCTCCCCTTAATGCTGGGATTATAGCCATGCACCGCTGCCTCTGTCTTTATTATTTTTGTTTTGTTTTGTTTGAGATAGGGTCTCACTGTGTAGGTCAGGCTATCCCTGATCTCACTATGTAGCCCAGGCTGCCCTCTAATTTATGGAAATCCTCCTGTCTCAGCCTCCTGAGTGCTGGATTACAGGCATTTATAGGCTTTTGCCAGCATTCCTAATTTATTTTATTTTATTTTTATTTTATTTTATTTTATTTTATTTTATTTTATTTTATTTTTTGAGATAGACTGTCACTATGCAGGCCAGGCTACCCTGGAACTTGTGGTGATCCTCTTGCCTCAGTCTCTCCAGCGCTGTGATTATAGTTACAGGCACGGGCCTAGCTATCTTATTATTCCTTTGTGTGTGTGTGTGTGTGTCTTTTTTTGAGACAGGGTCTCATTGTGCAGTTCAGGCTGGCCTTGAACTCACAATGATCCTCCTGCCTTAGCCTCTATTTTATTATTCTTAAGGGGCTTTTTTTGTATTTTGATTTGTATTTGTATGTGTATTTGAGACTCTTGATTGTTCCTTTATATTCTGAAAAACTTATAATCACATTGTTTTGTTTCTAGACAGATTATGTCAGCCTTATTCTTAATAAATGAGAATATAACTTTCCTTTTTTAAGCGTCATATAAGTATTGTTTCCATTGAAAGTGAGCTTATCTATTTGAAGTTGTTGATGCCTTTTTAAAAATATCCTTGGGTTTGGGATGCTGATCAGTAGTAGAATGTTTGCTAGCATTCATAAGGCCCTGAGCTTAATCTCCAGCATTGCAAAAAAAAAAAAAAAATGTATATATGTGTGTGTGTGTGTATAAATAAATAAAACATATCCTAATATTGCTGGGCATAGTGGCACACACCTGTAACCTGAGCACTCAAGAGGCTGGAGCTGCAGAACAGTGAGTTTGAGACCAGCCTGGGGTACATGGCAACATAGGATGAACTGTCTCAAAAAACAAAAACAACAAAATCTTTATGTTAATGCTTTATTGTGTTTACTTTGAAAGTGGATTGAGAGGTTTTGTTTTTTGCAGTATGGAAGATTAAACCCAGGGCCTTCACACTGAGTTATCTCCAGCTCTTTTTTTATTTTTTAGTTTGAGACAGGGTCTCATTAAGTTGCCGAGACTGGGCTCAAACTTTGTGGTCCTCTTGCCTCAGTTTCCCTGAGTGCTAGGATTAGAAGAGTGTGCCATAGCACTTGGCTGGAAATTGGCACTAGTTAGTTGTGTTGAGACTGTCTCTAACTCTGTGACTGTTTTTTCACTCCTAGAAACTGGCAGAGCTAAAACGAAAGACTGTACCTTTGAAAAAAAAACTGGAGTCCTACTTAGATTTAATGCCGGTAATTATTCTTATGGGTTTTGTTTTGATTTTAAAGTCATCATCTCTAAACTTCTACAAGGGCAATAAATGATTATAAAAATTGTGGGTTCATGTCTAAGGATTTAAAATCAATGGTGAATTTCAATATTGTATATATGTTGACTATTTCCTATAATTTGTAAAAAAAATTTTATGTAAGGAATTACAGTATGTTTTTTCCTCCTTTGAATCTGAAATTAAGCACTATAACCTTTGCTTATATTTTTCTTTAAAAGAATCCAGCTCTTGCTCAAGTGAAAATTGAAGAAGCAAAGAGAGAATTAGTAAGTAATTCCCATTTTTACTTTTTTTTTTTTTTTAATATTTATGTATATTTTTGTTTTTGTTGTTTGGAGACAAGGTCTCACACTGTAGTGCAGGCTGGCCTTGAACTCACTACGTAGCCCAGACTGTCCTTGCACTCCCTTGATCCTCCTACCTCAACCTCCCGAGTGCTGGGATTACAGGCATGTGCTGCCATACTCAGTTTATTTTTTGTTTTTTGAGACAGGATCTTGCTACATAATTCAGGCTGGCTTCAAACTCATGCTGATCCTCCTGCCTCAGCCTTCCTAGTGCTAGTTTTACAGGCATGTACCACCATACCGGCTATTTCATTTATTTTTTAGAAAATATAAAGAAGCTGGGCATGGTAGTGCACACCTGTAATCCCAGCATTTGAGAGGTTGAGGGAGGAAGATCACCATGAATAGGCCAGCCTGGGCTACATAGTGAGTTCAAGGCCAACCTGAACTACACAGGGCAACCTGTCTCAAAAAAAGCAAAACAAAACCAAAAAGAAATTAAATAAATGCTGGTACAGCTAAAGCCACCTTCATTCTCCATCCTTCTTCTTCAGAGGTAAACTATAGTCCCAAAGTTACCTTGTATCATTCCCTTGCATCTTTTAATGCTTTTTTGGGTGTATCTCTATGCATTTTTAGTTGTGTTTTATATCTTTTAAGATTTTACGTAGACTTCCCAAATGAGGAAGAGAGTTTGAGAGAGAATGAATATTCTCATTATCTCTATGAAAAGCCAAAAAAAAGAATTAGCAGCCAGGCATGGTGTTGCACATCTGTAATCCTGGTACTGTGAAAAACTGAGGCAGGAGGCTCACAAGCTTGAGCCTAGCCTGAGCCACTTATAGTGTGACCTTGTCACAATATTAAAAAAAGAGTTGGGGACTTAGCTCAGTGCAGAGGCCCTGGATCCAATCCCCAGTACCACACATACACACATACACACAAAGGATTAGCAAAGTCAGGTCTGGAGGTGTGGCTCAGTGGTGGAGCACTTTTCTGGCATATGCAGGGCCTAGGACTGATCTGCAGGACCACAGAAAGCAAAGAAGAAAGGAAGGAAAGGAGAGATGCAGGCAGACTGGTTGCAGTGACACACATCTGTGTTCCTACTATTACAGAGGCTGAGATGAGAGGATCGTTGAACACATAGGTTTGAGGCCAACCTAGCAAGACCTCATTAAAAAAAAAAATTGGTGCCAGGCATGGTGGCGCATGCGTGTAATCCCAGCACTCGGGAGGCTGAGGCAGGAAGATCGTTGCGAGTTTGAGGCCAGCCTTAACTGCACAGCAAGACCCTCTCTCAGACAAAAAAATAAAATAAAATAATTTTTTAAAAAATTGGCAAAGGCATAAGAGATGAGGAATGAAAGATTTTTGTAAGCTGTGGCAAGTGATGGTGCAGTGCGGGTCAGGAATACACATCCTAAGACAGAACTGATAAAGGTAAATTAGTTTATGATATAAAGGATCCTAAAAGAAGGTTGAACTTGGAAGTTGTTGGAGGCCAGTAAAAGTTGCTGTGTATTTCCTTGTTTTTAAGCTCAAGAGAGATGTGATCAGAGCTGTGGTTTTTGGCCAGGCCTGTACTTTAGGAAGATTGTTCGGTAACCAGTGTGTAAGGTGGATTGGAGGAAGGCCAGAGAAAATTGCACAAACAAGTTGCCCTATTTAGGCCAGACAAAAAGTCCTAAGTGCCGGCATGGTGGCACACGTCTGTAATCCCAGCACTCAGGAAGCTGAGGCAAAAGTGTCATGAAGCCATCCTGGGCTACATAGTGAGTTCAAGGATAGCCTGAACTACATAGTGAGACTCTGTCTCAAAAAACAAAAACAAAACATAGTTATAAGGACAGTAACGATGAGAGTGGAAGAGAAGTTATGTGAGCAATGTTGTGGAAATAGCAGAAGTCAAAAAAATCTATTTATCACTACATTGATATATTTCTCTAGTTTTTTTTCCCTCCTCAGGTGTTATTAGGATCAATTAAGACTCTGAAAACTTGGTGGGAGTTGGAAGAAGAGAAGTCTAAAAGCAAGGGAATAAACCAGGAATGGTGGCTCATGCCTATAATCCTACCACTGGGGAGAATGAGGCAGGAGGATCCCAAGTTCAAGATTAGTTTGAGTTACATAAACAAGAGCCTGTCTAAGTGAATAAACAGATAAATATATACAAAGGAATGTTTAAAGCATATTTAATTTGTGATGTATTGAAAAAAATTTCTGTGTTGTTTTTCTGTTTTGCCCCGCTTATTTTATTTTATTGATTGATTGATTGATTGATTTTTGTCTTTTTGAGACAGAGTCTCGCTACGCAGTTCAGGCTGGCCTTGAGCTCACTTTGTAGCCCAGGCTGGCCTCGAACTCTCAGCAATCCTCCTGCCTCAGCCTCCCAAGTGCTGGGATTACAGGTGTGCACCACCACACCCAGCTGCCTCCCTTATTTTAAGTAACATTAGACATTATAACATTGTTTTATATCCTTATTTATGATATTTCTTTCTTCATTTAGGATACCATTGAGGCTGAACTTACAAAGAAGGTAGACATGATGGAACTGTGACACAGAGCCAAATAAACATCCTTTTCCCTAGCAAAATAAGTTGAACAGAATTTTGCTCGGGTTTTTTTCCGCTCAGCATGCCTTAATTAAGTTTCTGTGTTCTTAGTTGAGATAATAATGTCCTTATTGACAGAATAATGGTTCTGAGTTATGTGTCACATTTTTGTGCCCAAATACAATTTTCATATTAAAAAGCATTTTCTCAAACTGGGTGTGTTGGATTTTCTGTGTGCAGAGCAATTAAGAGTCCTTCAGCCCCGAGTACATAGACTCTGGACCAGCCCAGACTACACAGTGATGCCTGTCTCCGAAAAAACGAAGTCTCTCAGTATCTGTAGTGAGGAAATATAGTCATAGTGGTCACATACACACTCACCAGGTCAGCTAAGGTGAAAAGGAAAGGCTGTGCAATTCCTGCCCTATGCCTCTTGCTCTTCTTTCTCTAAGGACTTGGTGTTCTTTCTGATCAGCTCACCTGCTTGCCTCCCAAATGTTAATATATGTAAGAATTTAGTGTATAAAAAAATGGACCTTTTAACCAGAGGTAGAAAGATGGATAATTCAACTCTTGGTGCTAGATAGTAGTAGATCTATACTTCATGTCTTATGTCAGGATAATCTGAAGGATCAAAGATCTAAGTATAAAAAATTTTTAAATAAAGTTACTAAAAATCATAGAGGAGTTTTAATGTTACTATTTTTAAATAATGATAGAGTTAGAAACATATCACCAAAACGCAGGAGCCACAAATGAAGTGATTGAATTGTTTATTTTGAAATATTAAAAATTACTGCATAGCTGAATGGTGGTGTATGCCTGCAATCCCAGCACTTAGGAGGCTGAGACAGGAGAATCACTTCAAGTTTGAGGCCAGCCTGGGCTACATAGCAAGACTCTGTCTCAAACAATAAATAAACTAAAACTAAAAGTTACTGCTTGAGGGGCTGGGGATTAGCTCAGCGGCACAGCGCTTGCCTGGCACGCATGAGGTCGTGAGTTCAATTCCTGGTACCGGAAAAACAACAGCAACAAAAAAAAAGCCAAAGGTAGAAAAAAATAAATAAATAAAAATTACTGCATGGCATAATCTGCAAGCAAAATCAAAGGACATGAGAACTGTATAGGGAGGAAGGGAGATTTTTCACTATATACATGCTTTTACTTTGACTTAAAATCTTATAGTGTACAATTAAAAAATACTCCTTTTAGGGCTGGGGATATAGCTCAGTGGCACAGTACCTGCCTGGCAAGCACAAGGTCCTGAGTTCAATTCCCAATAGCAAGAAATAATAATAATAATAATAATAATAATAATAATCCCTTTAAAGATTATCTAGCCAGGCATGGTAGTGTACACCTATAAAACTAACTCTCTGGGAGGCTGGCAGGAGGATCACAAGTTTGAGTCTAGCCGGGTAACTTAGCCACTTAGGGAGAACCTATCTCAAAAGTGCTTGGGATGTAGCTCTGTGCAAATGTAGCAGAAAATGCTCCCTGCCCCAGCCAGTATACTTCAGTTTGTCAGTTGCCCAGGTAATAGTTCCTGTTCCAGTTATGGTTGCTCCTGGCTCTTAAAAACAGCTGGTCACTGTGATGCACATTGTGTAAACCCCATGCCCAGTTGACAAGCTGTTCTGCCTGTGTACTTCTTGCTTCTCTCACATAAGCCCTAGACCACCAGAGATCAGGGTCCGATATTCTGGGAATGATCCTGATCAGTGCCAATCTGATGTTAAAAAAAATCTGCCTCCAAATCCTGGGTGTCATTGCGGTGTTTCTGCTTGCTGTCACACAAAGGCCCTGGGTTCAATACCCAGTACTGGGGGGAAAAAAAAATACATAGAGGAACAGAAAGAATACATCAGATTTACCAGAAACCGCAAGTGAAGGTACTGACAGAAAGATACTTCGTGTCAGCCTAGAAATTTTTAAATTCTTTTTACTTATTTTTGGTTTGATTTTTTCCGGTACCGGGAATTGAACTCACAACCTTGCTCTTGCCAGGCAGGCACTGTGCCACTGAGCTAAATCCGCAGCCCCTAAATTCTTTTTTTTAATTGGTCATACAAATTACTGGGTTTCATTTTGATGGAATCATGCCTGAAAATAACATACTTTGATTGTTTTCACACAGCTTCTGTCCCCCCTCAGCTCACCCTTCTCCTTAGCTTCACACTAGGGAGGTTAATAGTGATAATATATTGTGTTCATATCCCCCCATTATCTGCCCTTACATGCTCTTCCCTTTCTCCCTTCCTCTTACCTAATAATAGACTCCTTTTTACCTTCTTGTCATCTTTTTTTAGATTTCACTTACTAGGGAGAACGTGTGATACTTGTCTTTCTGAGTCTGGCTTATTTCTCAGCCTGGTAGTGTGTAGGACCATGTACTTGCAAACAACAAATTCAGTTCTTTTTTGTGGATGAATGATACTCTCTTGTGTATGTATAGCACATCTTTTTTACCCATTCGTCTGTTGATGGGCACTCAGGCTAGTTCTGTATCTTGGCTATTGTGAAGTCTGCTCAAATAAATGTAGATGTGCAGTCATCCCCATAGTATGCTGACTTCACTTGCTTTGCAGATATGCCAAAGAGTAGCATAGCTGGATCAAATGTTACCTCTATTTTTAGTTTCTTGAAGAACCTCCATACTCATTCCATAGTGTCTATACTAATTTATATTCCCACCAGCAGTGTAAAAGGCCCCCCGCATCCTTGCTAGGACTCATTGTATTTTTGTATTGTTTTTAAAAATATTTTTATAAGAACTTGTTTGTAGAATGTAATGATTGTGTACATTGTGGGGAGCTGGTCCATATACTTAACACAGCTTAATTCTTTTTCCTTTTTTTTTTTTTGTCTTTTTGAGACGGGGTCTCACTATGCAGTTCAGGCTGGTCCCGAAAATCCTGCTGCCTCAGTGTCCAAAGTGCTTGGATTACAGGAGTGAGCCACTACCCCTGGCAATTCCTGGCAGTTCAGTTACTTTTGCTTTCCCTCCTTCCTCCCTCTTATTGTTTCAAGTTTGGGTTTTTTGTTTGTTTGTTTTTTGTTTTTGAGACGGGGTTTCATTGTGTACCCAGGCAGATCTCAAACTTGTGGTGATCCTCCTCCCTGAGTCTCCTAAGTGCTGAGATGACAGACATGTGCCACCACACCCAGCTGGTTTTTGTATTCTTGACGACAGTCCTTTTTTTTGAAGGCTGAGATATCTCAGTGTAGTTTTGATTTGCATTTCCCTAATGGCTGACAATGTTGAACATTTTTTTGTACACTTGTTGGCCATTTGTACTTCTTTTGAGAAGTATCTTTTCGATTCATTTGCCCATTATTAATTGGGTCATTTGATTTTTTTGGTGTTTTTTCCTGAGTTCTTTGTGTATTCCAGGTATTACTCTTCTGTCAGATGAGAGCCTGGTAAATATTTTCTCCCATTTTGTATGCTGGCTCTGTTGGTTTTGTTTTGCTTACTGTGGAGAATTCGACGCAGTTCTGTCTGGTTCTTGCTGTTACTTTCTGTGCTAGTGGAGTCCTATTCAAGAAGTCTTTGTCTGTGCCTGTGGCTTCAAGTGTTTCCCCTATGCTTTTCATCCATTTCAAAGTTTCAGGTCTTATAACTAGGCCTTTGGACCATTCTGAATTGATTTTTGTACAGGGTGAGGGATAAGGATCTAATTTCAGTCTTCTGCAAATGGAAATCCAGTTTTCCCAGCACCATTTGTCAAAGAGGCTATCTTTTCTCCAATGCATCTTTCTGGCTTTTTTTTTGGTCCAGAATCAGATGGCTCTAGTTGCATAGGTTTATTTCTGTGTCCTCTATTGTGTAACACTGGTGTAGACATCTATTTTTGTGTCAGTATCGAACTGCCTTTGTTACTATAGCTTTATAGTATAATTTGAAATTGTGTATTGTGATTCCTCCAGACTTGCTCTTTTTACTTAGATTTACTTTGGCTATTCTGGGCCTATTGTATTTCCATATGAAGTTTTGGATTTTTTTCCTAGTTCTGTAAAGAATGTCATTGGTATGTTGATGTGGTTTACATCGAATCTGTGGATTGCTTTTAGTAATATAGCTATGTTGATAATATTAATTCTGCCACTCATGAAGAAGGAGGTTATTTCCATCTTCTAGTGCCTTTGATTTCTTTTCTCAGTGTTCTGAGGTCTTTGTTATGGAGATCTTTTTCTGCCTTGGTTAGATCTATCGCTATGTGTGTTATTTAATTTGAAGCTATTGTGAATGAAATAGTTTTCCTGATTGCTTTCTGAGCCAGTCCATTATTGGTGAAGCTATTGATTTTTTAAATATTGACTTTATATCCTGCTACATTGTTGAATTCATTTATTAGCTCTAAAAGTGTTTTGGTAGAATGTTTAGCATCTTCTGGAGTATAGGATCATATTATCTGCACACAAGGTAATTTGACTTCTTTCCTGTTTGGATCCCCTCCTTTTTTTTCTTTTTGAGACAGGGTCTCACTATGCAGTTCAGGCTGGCCTTGAGCCCAGGCTGGTCTCGGACTCAACTATCTTCCTGCCTCAGCCTCCCGAGTGCTAGGATTATAGGCATGCACCACCGTGCCTGGCTGTTGTATCCCTTTTATTTTTGTTCCTTTTCTAATTGCTCTAGCTGAAATTTCAAGAACTACATTGGGTAAGAGTGATGAGAGTGGACCTCCTTGCCCATCTCCTGATTTGAAAGAAAATGCCTTCAGTTTTTCCTCACTGAGGATATTCCATGAGATGCTGAGAAGAATGTAGCTGTTTAGATAGAAGAATTTTGTTCGCAGTCCGTAGTTGTTTAGTTGTCGGATGGTCTGTACTCTAGATATCTGTTAAGTTCATTTGATCTATGGTATAGTCCAACGCTGATGTTTCTCTGCTTATGTTATTTTTTTAATTGTTTTTGGTCAAATGATGTCTCTATTGGTGAAAGCAGAGTAATGCAGTCACCCACTCTTATTGTACTGGGACCTAATGTTGGATCCCTCTATGTTCAGCTGTGTTTGTCTTATGAAAATGGGCACACCCATGTTAGAGATAGAGATATAGACATGTAGATATAGATAGATATACTTACAATTATTTATCTTCTTAGGAGATTGTTCCCTTTAACAATATGTAGTAAGCTTTATCCCACGTGAGTAATTTTGTCTTGCAATCTGCTTTGTCAAATATGAGTGAGTATGCTTGCTTTTGG